AGTGTGGTCTAGGAGTTCGAGGTTTGAGAATGGCTCCTCAGGGTTGCGCTTAGGACCTTGGAGCTTGAGGTTCCAGGGTGTAACCCTAAGGGTCCATGTAGCCAAATAGATATACATAGCCCCCAAAGTACCCAAATAGGGACTACTTTAAGGCCAAAGTATATCTATTTGGGTACATGGACCCTTAGGGTAATGTAATGGCTTCATGAAGGGTTTAGGGTTTAGGGTATGAACAAGCTGCGACTGCTAATGCTGCGGCTGCAAGAATGGCTACGGCTGAAGCAACTGCGGAAGGATTACGATTCCGACAACAGCAGCTTGCAACAGCACTGCTGCAAGGGCTAAAGTACTTCTAGCAACACTTGTAACGAAAGTGAGAATATCGGAGGAACTGACGCATGAAGTTGTAAGTGGAGCTAAGAGAAATGGCCAGAACAGAGACGCCGAGCATTCCATGTTCAGTTGGTGCTGGGTTGTTACTCCTTCGTCTGACAGGAGCTTTGCTTAGGCAGGAGTTTGTCAATAGTCAACATTAACATGATGTCACTTTTGGATCATCTCTCTTCGATGCCGCAGTTGTCAACATTTGGGAGCGGTTGTTGGGCCTTCTCCACCCACCTCATGGTCATCCTGTTGCCGTTGCTTCTGCCGAGACAAGAAGGATCCAAGATGTATGCATGTTCTGATTCTAAGTGGTAGCGACACTACTCACTACTGACAGTGATTGCTTGAATTAAAAGGAGCCATGACAGTCGCGCTACTGCTGATAAACACAAGACTTGCCGGGATGTTGATGTTGAGGAGAACGGGAACCATCATGCGAGTGAGAAGACTGATGCCCATGCTCATGCCAAACCGACCGCAAATTTCACGTTTCAGACTTTCCGAAATAATAGAAAGTTTAAGTTCATGTTGCCACAGTGGTTATGCTGACGGTTCTTTGTCATGCTAGCGGTACTTGTTGTCGAGACTGTCGCATATCCGGTTAGCATGGAGGGCTGACGAGCTGGCTTTAATGAATATTGTTTCCCTTTAAGCCGCCTATACAATTCTAGCTACACTTGTACGTTAGTATGCACCAAAATAAACCCCCTAAGCCGTCGACCTCAAACTTGTCCCTGAAAGCCCTGTTCCCAAGCCCAGAACCTAGCAGCCCTGAAACTTTGTAGCCGTTGAGATCTATAATAATGATTCCATAGGCTCCTCTAGGGGATCAAGAAGGGTTCCTTTAAGAGATGCACAACGATTCTGAAAGGGTTCTAGGATTTTTGGGTTTTGTGGGGGGTGTCTCAGCTCGAGGTAGTTTTCTGCTTGTTCGGCTTTCGCCCTTCTTGCAAACACTGCTCCAGACTCCAGCTAGTACTGCGCCCGTGCTCCATCCGGTGTGGTCGCGACTGCTCGTGCATTACGGCCTGCACGCGGGACCTTGAGGCCGCGTCAGGTACGCTACAGCTGCTTTGAGCAGCCGCTGCTGGTGGACGTGCTCACTGGAGCGAACCTTACAATTTCTCGGCTACTTCCCGGCGCAGTACACTGCCGGTTTGTCAGTCAGCTCCTTAATGTTGCCCCGCGGGTTTGTCGGCTGCTTCAGCCTCTTGTCTTATATAAGTCGACGACCGGGCTGGCGCTGGCGTCCTTTTTCGAGAATGCCGGCACTGATCTTTGTTAGTTGTGGCCTTTTGCTGTCACACTCTTTGACGCTGTGCTCTGGCTCGCTTAGTGGCTCTGCTGCGGCTCAACTGCGAGGAGCACTTACTTCTGGTGAATGGATGCTGTACTGCAATGTTTTTTTGATTTTTTTGGCTCAGTAGGTCCTTCCTTCTGTTTTGGTGAGGCAATATAAGGCAATAAGTAGTTTCAGCGCACTTTGGTGCCGCCGCCGATGCGGGTCTGAGCCGGGACCTTGCTTTGATGTGAACCCTTGTTCCCGGTTCTGCCTCACGTCCCTTATGCGAGTGAGTGAGTGAGTGAGTGAGTGAGTGAGTGAGTGAGTGAGTGAGTGAGTGAGATAGATTTAGGTTTGGAAAGGTAGGGTATATCCGGACACTCGTAATTCTGCGTGGAGTTGCTGTTTTCTTCTTGTTGCACAGCGCGTGTTGCCAACCATTAAAAGCCTCCAAGCGAAAACCTAAGCAGCCTAGAAACCTATGTAGAGCACCGCAGGCAGCGCAATGCTAACTTCAAAACGTAGAAACCGCAGGCAACACAACTGCATCAACCCCATCTTCCCTGGTCTTCAAGACCTGGAGAAGCTGCAGGCACTCGCCTTCGCTTGGCAGTGCGTAGTTTTGGGTTGAGGGTTTTTGAAGGAGAGGGGGGTTGGGTTGCGGATGTAAAGTGTGGCACCCGTCACACCGGATTTCATCACACGAGGGTAGCAAGGGAGGCATGCCTTAGCCTTATTTGGGGTCCTTATGATAAGGGTCCTGAAGAATGGGACCATGCTCGTCGAAGTTTGAAATCGAGAGCACCACATTCAGCGTCTCAATGGATCCCTCCCAGAATCTGTATTGGGGAATTAACTCCCCCCACACAACCTAAGCGCAAACCCTATACCCCAAACCCCAAACCGTACACCCGAAAACCCTGAGTGGGCAAGGGACGTCGGCAAATGAGGTTGATCATGGACAGCCGCTATACTTTGTGCCCAGAATTTCCAACTAAAAAGTTCTGCATTATGTCTCATGCATCGTTCGACGGTACGTCTACCGTCTACCCTAAACCCTCTTGAACCCTGGAAGTTGCCTTGGAGCTCCGTACGTTGCGGGTTCGCGCACCTCTCATCTATGCTGAATCCAACGCCCAAGCCGCATAAAGATTGAAAGGATCCGCAGACTTGGTTAGCAGGCTTCTCAGTAAGGTACATCTTGTGGCAATTACTGAAAGCCCCAATTCAGGTACTTCGATCTAAACCCAGTTAACGAAAAACCTTCAGACACCCTGATAAAGCCTTATAGAGCTCCTATACACCTTATGGAACCCTTATCAAGGTTGTTAAGAAGCCATATCAACAGAACTAGAAAGCCAGTATATAGAAGTTTGAATAATTAGCAATGTTGTTTCTTAGGGCTCTAGGTCCCATATTGTTATACTTGAAGTATAATATTACCCTGTTCGAGTCATTACGGGCCGTATCCTAAACCTTGCAACAAGCCCCGGCGCTTACTGTAAGTGCCCGGAGCCATGTCACCTGCATAGTGGTGTACTGTTCTTTAAACCGTATATAGACCTTGTAGTACCCATAACGCAGTAACTTACTATAGACCCTAAGCCCTAAACAAGCCCATAACCTAATAACTTACAATATATGCTCTTGGTCTCTTAGGGCAAGTGCCGGAAGCCATGTCTGATTCGGATTCGGATGAAGCCGGCCTGGGTCCGCAACCCATCAAGAGCTTTGCCTTAAAGAAGGCAGGGTGCCGTGCTTAGGGTTTAAGGGCTAGCTTTGCTTTCAGGAAAGCAGGGTGTATGGGGCTTAATGGTGTAAGGTTTCAGGCTTAGGGCTTATAGAGCTTGGCGTTAAGAAAGGCAGGGTGTAGAGTTTAGGGCTTGGGGTTTAGAGCTTTGCCTCAAGAAAGGCAGGGTGTATGGCCTATAGCATGTATAGGGCTATGGGATTTATAAAGATTTCGGGTCCAAGGATTTGGGGTTTCAGGGAGTTTCGTCGCAAGAGAATCAGGGCTGCTGCTTCTATGGGGAGTTGTACCAGGGCAATCGTGTAGTTTTTGAAGGGCTTGTAACATGTAAATAGGGGAAGCTGCAAGATTTGCGGTTCAGGGTTTGTTTCTAGTTTTCCAGCTGAATTTGCGGATTATTGTGGTTTGAAAGGGTTTCCATCTATAGTTTTTGAGAGGGATATAGAAGGATTATAGATTTTGGGTTTGAGGGTGTTTTGGGGTTTGGGGGTTGCGATGTAGGGTTTGTGATGTCGGGTTTTATGACCGGAAAAGACAACGTAGTTTATTCGAAGGAGACAGGGTAGTGGGAGCAGTGGGAGTTTGCACATGCGGCCCAGCCGTCTTTGTATGACCTGTTATTGATACCCTGTTTTGATCTGTCTTTTGGTGCCGATAAACAATTACAACCACAACTGCCCCAAACCCAGTACAATCCTCCGAGTTTATGGTATCCTTAAGCCAGGGTGGTTCAAAAGAAGGGATAAAAAACCGCATAATACCTGAATGATCCTAGAAAAAGTTTGTGCGCAGTGTTGTAAGGCGGTCAGATGTATATAGGTCCGAACATTGCAACCATATCCCCCGTCGAGTCGTACAACAATATTCGATACTAGAGACCCGTACTCTAATCACTAAGGCCCCTCTGCCCACTTAAGGCCCTACAAATCCATGCTCTAAATCCCAGGCGCCCAGGTTCAAGTTTTCAACCCTCAGCCCCTTACTCTGTGAAGCCCGAAGCCTAAACCCCGCCCCGTTTAAGGTTTAGGGTTGATTTCAATCCCAAAGCCTTAAACCCTGAGCGCTAACCACCTTGGCTCCAAAACCCAAAACCTGCCATCAAAACTGCGCAAGTTGAAAGATTGGCATCCGAGGAGCACCCACGACGACATTGGCTGCCACTCGACGTAAGCTGACCCATTTTTTCGGGTTTAGGGGCACGTTGATGGAGATCCTGCTTCGAGGATCAGGGGACAGGGTTCCCTGAGCTATAGTTATACTATGCAACCCCAAGGAGTGCTCTTGGCTAGTATTAAGTCTTTTACATGGATTGTAAAGAAATCTCTAAACAGATGCGTGGTTTCCATTTCCTGCTTACCTGAGTATGTGTAGCTGGCCCTGCTGGTCCTTTAAGTCGACGAGTTCAGGACATAGGATTGGCAGTCAGATGTCAAAATATCATTGAAACCTAATTCAGTTAGATCACGATTATGAATTTAAGTAGGGAGGGGGAACTGCTATACTGTTTACATGGCAGCTCAAATTAGCAGCCCTCACAAATTTGGGCCTTAACTTTCGCTCTAATCCAAAGAGCGAGCTGATAAGGCATCGCTCTGTTTGCCTGGATCCTTGGCGTGCTGGGTGCCGGGGCGATCATCCTTGGCTTTGCCCTGGATTTGGGCCGGGAGGTCATCTACGTCGGACTCTTTGGCTCCTTGGAGGAGGATTTGGCACTAAGATTTAGGACATTCAGGGTTCAGGAATTGAAATTAAGAGGTTTAGTGCTCAGGGACTCTAGGGTTGACTTTTTTTGGATTTTGATTTTACGCAAGCACTTGTCGAGGATCCTGGGGTATAGGGGCGGGCCGTAGTCACGGTTTTTTCTACACTCAATGTTATGTCATTTCGCGGGCAGACCGCCTGACGTGTGGAGTTGTTGTTAATTGCTACTCGAATCAGTCATGCTACTATTTGCACTTGTAATTTTATTCACGACCCTCACACTTGTTGTTAATTAATTGTTCGCCCTTGCCAAAATTATTGTTGCACGTGCTTGCGTGATTGTTAGTATACTGGTTACAATCGAATATTAGCTGTCTGGATCTGACAGTCATTATCAGGGTCTACCATGTACGAACAAAAAATAATGGTGCGCCCCGAACAGCACTGGAAAGCTGACGCTACTGCGACGCACAGGATATATTATCTACCTTGTGGAGCTCTGCCAGAGCAAGGCTTGCAGATATCTGGCGAATGTGCAGAGCGAGGAGGCATGTGGTGAGAAAGGGTCTTCACGAACGATTTGGGAAGTTCATTGCTAGAAGCCCTGAACCCCAGAACGCTAAATCCCAAATCTCTAAACCCCAAACCGCCAAACCTCGTACACCCTAACAGAGCCACCCAACTAAATCACATTACACCAGGTTTGAAGATACTGCAAAAGCCTTATTGAAACCTTACTGGGCCCGTTTAGGCCCGATAAAGCCGATATGCCCCCCTGAACCCCAAACCCTAAACCCTAAACCCTAAAACCCTAAACCGTCCCGGCAGGATTTCGTCAGCTACATCGACACTCTCCAGAAAGCCGCCCCGATCCTTACCTTCAGCATTCAGATCCTCAGCTCTTCACTGGGGCTAGAAAGGTTTATAGAGGCTTTCAGGGTCTGTATAAGAGGTTTTATAAGACATTATGAGAGTGTCGTAAGAGGTTACTCAATTCTCCAATTTCAAACTCTTAACCTTGCCAGGCTTTTCAAATTTAGTATTCTTTTGAGCCCTTTTTCCACCATGAGCATTGGGTAAGAAAGGAACTATCACTACGAGAACGTCTCAACCTATAACGCGTCCCAGAAGAAGTGGACGACCAAATCGGAGAGAAAGAACACGCACACTGCGACGGCCCGCTTTCCGATTGCCAGCATGACTGATGAGACTTTATCTCCTGCTCAGACAGTGGCGATGTTCCACTTGTTGCACCATAGCGCAAGCAGTGAAGACACTGGCATGCTGCACGAGACTGTATCTTGGCTTAAGCTGTCTTTGCATTTGGGAAGACTGGTATTGCCGACCATTGATCAGGTGCTGCTTGCCTAGGCCTGGGGCAGTTGCGCAAGCCCAATATCAATAATACATATCTATCGGTAGATAGATAGACAGACTTCTGATTCTAAATGCGTTAGTTAAGTGTTATTGGGTAGTCTGGGTCGTGATCTTCGCAAGGTGATTCGTGTGGAAGGCACTGGTGAGAAGCGCCTACTTCTGACTTGCGAGTTCCCTCTCACCTTCCTGCCGCGTGACTGGGTGTTCCTCAGGGACATTTAAAATTTAGGAATTCAGGGACCATGTTTCATGTTTATTAGTCATCAAAAAACAGCAGAAGGATTTTTTATATTCCGTCAAATGGCTTTGCAGGTGACACAGAGACCGCCACGGCTCTTGCAAGATTCAAGGAAGATCTTTAGCTTTCCTAGCAAGACGCTGGCCATTTCCCAGAGAGCCCGATACCCCTTAAATTAAGGAATATACCTTAAATCATAATAATAAGGCCCCTATAATTTAAGATATATTCCTCATTTAAGGGGTATTGGGCTCTCCGGGTTCGTATTCCTGAACTAGGATCCTAAACCCTGAGCCTAACCAGATCGCAAACACCCGGCTCAGGATTTCTACCGCTCCAACACCACGGACAAGTATCAAGACAAGTCTGAGAAACAGACACTGTTCCCTGGCTCAGTTTCCCAACTAAGCCCTCCGCCCGCGGGTCCTGTAATAGACCTGATAGTCCGTGTATAGTTGTGCATAATGTACCCCCCAGACCGAAGTCTATGCATGAACACCCCTATACTATACGATGTTGAAGCTTGACCCTCAGTCCAGAGAGCCCAATGCCCCTTAATTAAGGAATATACCTTAAATCATAAGATTAAAAGCCCCTATAATGTAAGGTATATTCCTTATTTAGGGGGTATTGGGCTCTCTGGGGGTGTGACTCCGATGTAGCGCTCCCTCGCCCTGGAAGACGAGGACCTGCGCTCATGCAAACCATGCGATGGTCGTGCTGAGCCATTTGGAGCCTGATGGTACACTCGCAGAGAGCCCAATGTGCCTCAATTATAAGGAATATATACCTTTAAATGAAAATATTAGGGCCCCTAAAATTTAAGGTATATTCCTGATTTAAGGGGTATTGGGCTCTCTGGGCTTGTTTTGGGGTGTTGGCCCGTTTACTACGGTTTGCAACTTTATGATTTTAGACTTAACGTTGCCGCTACAATACCGGTTGTTCCCGTAGGTTTGTACCAGCCTGGGTCTAAACCCTATATAAACCCTAACTCCCAAAACCCTAAACCCTAAAAACCTAGCCTACACCCTAAAAACCCTACACCCGAAAAAACCCTAAACCCTGGGCGGTTCAGGTTGCTTTTGCGATTGAGGGCCTAAGGTCTCGGCGTTTGGAGGAGTCCTTTGTGCTCACAGAGCCAACTGTCCATTCAGTATCTAAGGACTGCCCATAGGCCCCTAAGTAGTTCCTTTTTGGGATTACCTGAAAGGATTCTAATATAAACCACAAAAAGGAACTACTTCATTACCTGAGGAACCCTCTAAAGCCCATGAAGTCCCCTCAAACACCTTTTCAAACTCTATCACACCCCTAAGGGCTTAGTTAGGGTCTTACAGAGAGCCCAATACCCCTAAAGCCCTTAATTAAGGAATATACTTTAAGTCATAATATTACGGCCCCTATAATTTAAAGTATCTTCCTTATGGAAGGGATATTGGGCTCTCTGGGTTCTGCTTGTCCCTTCAACATTATCTAAGGACTGTATCTAAGAGGCCCCACACATCCTTAAAAAGGCGGGTGGTATACTTTAATCAGGGGTACCCAGACAGCCCAATACCCCTTAAATAAGGAATATAGGCTTAAATTCTAGGGGCCTCAATATTATGAGGTCAGTTATATATTCCTCAATGAAGGAATATATACCTTAAATCAGGATATTAAGGCCCCTATAATTTAAGGTATCTTCCTTAATTAAGGGGTATTGGGCTCTCTGGGTATCTGGGGCGGTGTCCGGTCATCCTGGAGACCATAGCCCCCTTCATCCTGAAGTCAGACCTTAATCCCTCAACCCCAAACCCTAGTATAGGACTTTCCGAAAATTAGGCTACCTTATTTTGGGGTCCTTACGGTAAGAATCATATTATTTAGGGTACTCTATTAGGGTCCCCTATTTTCGGAAACCCCCATATAGGGGCCTTAGAATACTTAGACTGGGAACCTTGGGGTACATTTTTCTCGAATTTCCATCAGGAACCCACAAAAAAAAAACTATTCTAATGATCATAGAAGGCCCCCTACATGAAACCCCTAAAAGTGGCATTGAGCTCTGGCTTCGGACTTCCCGGATTCATTGTTGCCTGCTCGGGATCCTGCCGACTTTTGCTTTCAGCAGCACCTTAAGCCGCAAATCCCACTCAAAACCCTTAATGGGGTTAGGGTTTAGGGTTTAGGGGTTCTGACATCCCAGAAATAGACCGACGAGAGCTTATGACAAGCTTCCAAGACCTTGGAAGAGTCAGAGACCGCAAACCTAAGCCTTTAACCCAGCTCAAACCCCTGAAGGCCTAGAAACCCTGTCGAAACATGAGCAACCCTTTATCTTCAGCATATGAAACTTTTCTCAGACCTTGATATGGGCGTGAAAAAACCCAAGCTGTTCCGTCCGAGGCTCGGAAGGGCAGGGCGTCACGGAAAGACCTTGGCCTCTTGGCCTTCGAGGGTGTCGGGCTTAAGGGCTTAAGGGGTTTGCGGATTAAGGGCTGAAGGGGTTTAAGGTTTAAGGGCTTAGGGTTATACGGTTTAAGGGCTTCGGGTTATACCGTTTAAGGGCTTAGGGTTTACTGTTTAAGGGCTTCGGGTTTAGGGTTAAAGGGCTTACGGGTTTCGGCCGTGAGCGTTGAAGAAGAGAGGGGGCTTAAGGGCGTAAGGGTTCTAGGAGAGCTCCTTTGCTGTTTTGAAAAAAGGTTGTGTTGGGGTTCTTCGAGGGCATTTAAAGGTTTAGGGTTTGGGATTTAAGGGTCCTATTTAAGGGGTCGTGTCAGGGGTCGTGTAAGGGGTTCCTATAAGGATACTCTACGGGTTCAGGGTTTAGGTGTTTGGGGTTGCTGCAAGGGTTCTAGAGCGGTGTCTTCGTGGGGTACTATGAAGGTTACAAACTTCTTCGAGAGAGCCACGAGAGAGCCACGAGAGAGAGAGACAGAGAGAGTTGCCGATGAGAAAAGGCTAAGGTTTCCAGCCAATGCAATGTACGTCTATGCAGATATCCAAGCACAGCTCTGTCCATGTATAGTTGTATACACAATAACAACAGCATGCCGCCACATACTCCACAAGGTTTTGCAGGTGTCTGTATATCGTGATGCATGCACACTACAGCCATATGTGCTGAGCTTATGTATGTGTACACAACTTCTACACCAGTGCATGGACTTGTGCACGAGCATTCCAACAATGCTTTTGCTGCTTTAGTAGCATCTTGTTTTCGACCACCTTGTCGCACGCTTCTTTCATACAGTGGTTTGTGGCATTATGCAACTTTGAGACTGCAACAGTTAGACCTAAACCCGAAAAACGTGGAGCCAACCTATCTAAAGCCTGAACACGGAGAGAGCTTCGATGGCCAGGAGCACCAGGCCCTTATATCAAGACTTGCCTAAAGCCTAAACCCAAACAACTTAGGGTGCAGGGAGAAGGTGCGTCTGACTTTTCAGAGCTCCCTTTACTGGATGACCGCGGGAGTCAGTCGGCGAGAATTTTGGGGTTTAGTTTAGTGTTTCAGGGTTTAGGGGATAGGGCCGGTCAGGGGCTTTTGGGCTTTAGGGGAGGGTTGGAGTTGAGGGTTCTTTGGGTTTAGGGGTTTTGGGGTAGAGAGTTGAGGTTAGAATCGGTTAGAATTGGTCCCCTGCAGCCATGGGAGTTTCAGAAAAGAAAGGGCACCGTCAAGCCCAACACCAAGGTGGATGCGCACTCCATGGCTCGTCGTCTTTACCCTTCTGCTGATGGGCCTGCCGTTTCGCTGTTTCCTGTATCGACGTGCGCAGAAGGTGGTATGGCATGTGCGGAAGCACTTCTCCATCTTTGCTGCCCCCACTGCCGCGGCACCGATGCACTCGTTGAAGCGCTCCTGTGACCCAGCTGCTTGGCTGTAAGATTCTTCCTTAGGGCTCCTTATATTGTGGTTGTACCTTCTGCAAAAAACAGAACTTTCAGAACCCTTTTCCATAAGTTCAGGCCCTATATTGGTGGGCTGTTCATGAAACTAACCACCTATATATATGCTCTCTGACACAGTTGCTTGGTTTGTGCATCCTCAGAACAAAACCCACTAAACATCTAAACCCTATACAACCATTCATCCCCTGCACCCCTTGACCTGTCGTTTAAACCGCAAACGTTAAGCTCGAAATCCTAACCCGAAACTCTCTGACCCCTCACCCTAAACCCTAAGCCGTAGACCGCTCCAGCAAGAGCAAGGCTGTCGCCCGAGTCGGACGCCTGGATCCAAATGTCCGCATCGAGTTCGCTAGAGAAGGCCAGTCTGGCGTTGAAAGGGCTTCACAGCGCTTTTTTTTTCTAAGGGGTTTGGCGTTTGTTCGGTTTTATAGGTTTTCATGATGACCGTTTCATATGTTTGTGTTTTGTCAGTGGGGCCCCGCAAGGGCAATTTAGGGCCTTGAGAGGCTTTTGGAAGGTTTGGGGGTTCGACTTCTGCTTCCCAGAGAGCCCAAGACCCCTGAAAAAAGAAGGAAGATGCCTTGAATTCTAGGGCCTTAATGTTATGATTTAAAGTACATTCCTTAATTCAGGGGTATTGGGCTCTCTGGGGAAGCGTTTGCAGCTTGTTCCCCGTGACCTGGAGCCCTAAACCCTAACTTGCTAATGCGGAGACCTTCATAAATTTTGGTAGGGGGTTTGGGCGAGTACATTGATAGGGTGATTCATGTATGGACTATGGACACAAAGGCGGCTACACCTCCTACTACTACTAGGGTTGCGCCGCCTCCTGGCGCCTGGTAGTTTTATGTGGTTCGAGGGTCCAAAATGCAGGTTTTAGCGCAATTTGTCAAAAATGGAGTTAAGCGAAACGGGGGGCAACTAATTGGGAGGACTTCTAAGTACACTGAA